AACTTTTAACTATTTTAATAAATTGTAGCTACCTATATAATAATTTATTCATAATTGTAAAGTCTGCTTTTTTTGGCAGATTCTCTTCAGAATTGGAGGTCATGTAATGAATAAACTATCTATCTATCTATCTATCTATCTATCTATCTATCTATCTATCTATCTATCTATCTATCTATCTATCTATCTATCTATCTATCTATCTATCTATCTATCTATCTATCTATCTATAGATTGTTGGCATTTAGCACAATCATGTGAAATTTGATTTTTTTCTTAAATTTTAGTTCTGTAGTGTCTGATACCGTCTTAAAATGTAAAACTGTGTGTAACCAATATCTACTTTGTGTTTATTCGTTGTGAAATATCCGTTTTTGCTTTTAAAACTACTGCATCAATTTTATTGTCCCAAATGCCAAGCTGAAAATAGATGTCCATGGTATTTTGCATAACTGTGGTATTCGGCGCAACTGCATGTTATTCCTTTTGGCATTTGGCGCAATCTTCATATTTTTGTCTCAAATACGGACTTTGAAACTTATTACTCTATGAGGCTATGTTAAATTAAATAATCTTTTTCCCTCTAAAGTCACGCACAGAAACAAAAAGATCGTGAATATAAATGTGCTTTGCAAAAGGTACTTAGAGAGCGAAAATAAAAGCAACAAATATTTTTTTTACGTAGTCGTAACAATCATATGGTAACATGTTGGTAATTTACAATAATAAATCTGTTTGTCATGAGTCACAACAAATCTGCTCGGAGTTCGACCCCCGCCTTCTGAATTCATACGCTCTACGCACAGTCGTTTAAATTCTTATATTCAAATATGAATTTCTAGATTATTACCTTTCTGCATCATAATTATACTTTTTCTATATTAGCATGAACAAAATTGTTATCTTTGCGTTATTTGCATCATTAGAAGGCAGCGTTTAATGAAACTGCGGTTACAACGAGACTGGGACTGTCCGGAAAATATGTGACGCTCTTTTAGCCATTTTTTGATAACCAATAAAAGACCTCCAATGAAAAAATTACAAAAGTGCGCATTTTCAGTCGTATTTGTAGCTCTAAAATTGTTTTCTTACTCACGAAACAAGGTAATGCATATAACCCCTTACACACTTTTAATTGAGAGCACAAGTATTACCTCTTCCAGGCGATTGTCTCTCAACCTCGTTCCCAGGGTCTTTTGGGACTTTATGAGAAAGAAGAGGAAATCACCACCAGAATCAAGGTAAAAGGCCCTGGGAACGAGGTTGGATTGTCTCTGCCACCTGGCCCAGTGGCGTTGCCAGCTTGATAAGTGTGGGTGACTTATTTATATATTCGTGTTTTACATTATTCATTTCTTTTCAAATTGATTGTTTTATCGGTCTGTCAACATGAATATATGAATATGTCCACCCCACTTATCGATGCTGGCGATGCCATTGACCTGGCACAAGCTTAAATTGCATATAATTACTGGATAAACTTCTCGATTCAAAGATTTATTTAAGCCTTGTATGTATATATCCCAAATAATAATATTCACAAGAATTGTTCTTTAGATTGCTTAGTTATTGATCCTCCATAATTATATGTGATTTAATTATATTCTATTGTAATTATATGTAATTAATTTAGTTTGGCTTGATACAGTTCGTCAAATTTTTTTTATTCATATTTTAAACAGAGCTATTAGGTATCTAAATGCTTTGCTAGAAGGCTAAAAGTACTAAGTAATATAAGTGCTAAAAGTAATATACTTTGCAGGAAATATATCTAAATCGAAAATCTATTCAGAACTTTTCTCTGACACCCGTTATTATAGCAACAGAGACGTTTTGCAATGGCTGCGAAACAGGGTTTGATGGTGTTTATATCGCAAACGAGTTCAGTGACCCCAATTTTTTTTTGCAATAAACATTTACACTATATAGATGCTTTATCTCTAAAAAGTTTTTAAAATTCCGTCAAGTCTGTTTATTAAAAACGTTATTTTGGCTTATTAAAAATTTCCCCAAAATTTTCGTAAAAATTTTTTAAAACGTTTTTATAGATAAAGCATGTAAAGCGTAAATATTTCATGTCAAAAAAATGGGGGTCACCGAACTCGTTTAAGATATAAACACAATTAAACCCTGTTTGGCAGCCATCTGCAAAGTATATTAACTTTCAGCCTCAAAAAACTGGGCTTTTTAAATTTTTTTTAAAAAACTCTCCCCACCTATACCTGCTTCTTGATTGGTCGATCAGATGCCAACATTGCACATGTATTATTATCATTACTAATCATAGATGTGTTATTATTGTTTTCATAATGTATTTGCAACTATGATAACTGTTATATAGCAACAGTCATGTTGGTTATAAATATGATGTGATGCAATGATCTTGTCTTGTAAATTTCGGGATAACTCGTTTCGACCATTGAATAAATTCTCCGCTTTTGCCTTTTATATTTTTCACTTTTGTTAACCATGTAGCCTTTTCCTTTCCATACTTATTATGGGTATTTATACAAGCGAAAATAGGACGTAGACCTTCAAGGAATGTACCAATTTTCCTAAATATAAAATTATTATACGTACGGCTTATAATAAAGACGAACCTCGATTCTAAACTATGAGCCGCGGCCTATAAAAATCGCAAATAATATTTATGATCTTTGCAACTTATTAGTTTAAAGGAGTATATTTGCTGTTTAAAAGCCTTAATAATACATGGTCTGTTTGCTCTAACAAGCTCTAATTCTAGTCGCAAATAAGCTCTACGTATTTATACGAATCTTTAACATGTTTAGGTAGTGGCTTGTTCACTGTTTAAGGGTTCTATTATGCCCCCTGCATGTGCGATCAGTCAGTTTCTTTTATGTTGGACGACAAATGTTTTTGTCTGCAACTAACCTATAGTTTTGTTGTAGGGACAATTCTGACGACGTATATTCTGCGCAAACAACATCCTCTCTTGGTTAACCACAATCCAGCCTGATAACTTCCTGGCATGGTTTCTTTGCATGTGATATTCAGAGTATTTCCAATAGTCTGAATGACTTGTATTCCTGTTCCTATACAATTCTTATTATATACTTGTCTATAAAACTCTCTTCTCTTAGAGTGCTTGGAAGTCGATTACCTGTTGTATTCCGGTAAACTAGATGCAACTACTGCTGCCCTATTTAATTTCTCCTAAACATATTTATTATGGCCAAAATTTAGTGGCTAAGTCACTGGCCTTTTCTCTGCAATTGTTAATCAGACCTGATGTAAAACCATGTTTTGACATTAAATGTATAGCTAGAACTTATATGACTGATTCAAGGGAATTATGTGTGCTTTTTAATGAACATGATTCATGTCTTGTAATTTTAAGGGATAACCCATTTCGACCATTGATGGAATTCTCCATATTTGCCTTATAATATTTCTAACATTGTTTTAACCAAAGATTTTGAGGTTTCGTGTTTTGCAAAAAGCTCACTTATTTGATATTTCTCGTTCATTCTGTGCGAAATGACGTGGCATATATGCAAATTTTTGTGCTAAATGCCGTACTGTATTATACAATTCCAAATAGCTACTGTATAATATGTACTTATATAGCATCTGACAATATTCTTTTTTACTGATCTATAGTATAATTACTACTTAAACTATAATTAACAGGGGTCGGTTGTATCAAGCCCGTTTAGCTTAAACGGTGGTTAAGTTGAAAATACGTACAAAGCAAGTCTGCCGTTTTATTCAAAAAGCGAACTAAATGTTTTTGACGTTAATACCAAGATACTGTTTAAAACTACATATTCAGTGCATAATATTCAAGTTGACTCATTCAAGAGAGTTGTAAGAGTGTTATTTAATTTTGACTTAGCTATCCACCGTTTAACTTTAAGTTAAACGGGCTTCATACAATCGGCCCCGGTGCTCTATACGCATGCATTTATCTGTTTGCGGATTATTTAAAATTCTCTCCTTCTAGACATGTTTAGAGGTCGATTAGCTGCATTTTCGGTTCAGATGAAACTAGCTGCTGCGCACTACGTCACAGAACCGCTCTAAGTTTTGTCGATCTGGGGCCGGTTGTATCAAGGCCGTCTATTTTAACGGTGGATAAGTCAAAATTACAACTCTCTTGAATGAGTCAACTTGAATATTATGCACTAAATATGTAATTGAAAACAATATCTCGATATTAAGGTTTAAAAACATTTAGACTGATTTAGTGAATAAAGCAATAGACTTGCTTTCTATTTTGAGCTTAACCACCGTTTAAGCTAAACGGGCTTGATACAACCGGCCCCTGCAGATTTTTACCACTGCTGATTTTTATAGTATCCGGATTTAACATTATCCTATACTTAATATTAAGACAAACCATGTCTATATCTTTTTAGACTCTGCCCTAAGGGTCGAATAGAGACAACTTTGCAATAAGTTTATGTGAAGCGCTAAGATTGTCTATTTCGTCTTATAGTTTAGACATACACAAGTAGCTACGGAATTTCTGAATGAAGTATTTGCATGCTTACATTATAGGGATTAAGATCAATCGCATTTGCATTACGCCCTTTAAATTTGAGAGTGATGACACTTGAGAAAAAGGACTATTTGGTGTTTACAAATTTAACAAGTTTCTTTACAGTGAAATATATATATTAGAGTTTCTATTTAGTTACCATTTCAGTAAAAGCGGCATTCCTGAATTACGGTAGCACTAGGCTACTATAGAATGCGCTAGCCATTGTTTTAAGGCATATCAGTAAAAGATTGATTGTCAATCAACATACAAACATCAATGGCCGAGGGTGATGTTAAATGTGCGTGTGTGTGCTAAAATTCATGTTAACAGACCGTAAAAAAGAACAATTTGAAAAGAAACAAATATGTCTCTATCATTATCATTATCATTATCTACGATGTATAAATCGTAGAAATATGTATTTCTACGATATGTCGCCACAACTACCCCTGAAAAAGGTGTTGAAAAACATCCAGGAGAAAATGACCCAAAATTTATTGAACAAAGCCCTGAAAAAAGTCCGGAAGACAGTCATTCGAGTCCAGAAAAAAGTCCGGAAAAAGTGGAGGGAAGAAGTCCTGAAAAAAGTAAGATACTAGCTGAAAACAGACACATGAGGCACTGTAATAATAGCCACCGGTATATTAAATGTGATCCATAAACATAAATAATTTAGTTCTACATTGCTTTGAATTACGTTTGGCCAGTATGTGGTGATTGTGTTGTCCCTTTTTTATTTTCTTATACCTCAATCTCTTTGTCTCAGAAAAACGTTTGATGCAACAACAATGGAGGCCTGTTAAACGTGCGAAAATATCGCCAAAGAAACCTTTGCGAAGTGTGCGAATGCAACTGGCATGTAAGTATTGAGTGTGTGATAGGAAAATAATTTGCTCTTCTGAATTCCAAAAGCTCAATTCTCTCGTATTTTCCCCAACTAATGAATGCTTAACCTAATCAGTTTCTCAATTATTTTGTACTGTAGCAAGGCGGTTTAGTCCAAAAAAAAGTCCAAAGAAGAAAATATATTTTTTGGCAAAAGAGACAGTAGCAGTTTTACGGGCGACAATAGACCTCCAACGTAAAGGCAATCTCAGCGATGACGCTATTTGGAAATGTATTATCAATGACAAGGTCTGCAAAGAATTAGGACTTACAGAAAAGTACAGCCAAATACAGCTTATAAATAAAGTAAAACGCTGCGATAGGGACGGGAAATATGCTAATTTCAAGTGAACATCATGTAATACAACTTAATAGGATAATAATTATGTTATGCGTTAGAGAATAGCTACCTTCACTCAGCTAATCAGCTGCCAGTATTTGCATGCTTTATATATCTCTCATAGTGTAGGGAATTCATTAAATCCCATTTAATTAATTTAGAGTGGTCTGATTACGATAAATGAAACTGGGAGCCAAAGGCCCCTGGTGATCTTTTACCTAATTTTCGGGATTCTATATATCTCATGAACACGTGATTATTCTGTAACCATTACTTAGTCATGCCGAATTCAATTGTATCTTAAAATTACATAAAATAATCTTACGACAACGTGCCTTTGAGAGGTATGACAGGGGACTATCATTTGCAAGTGATTTTTTCCTAATTTACAAATAGGCCTATGTACAACTTGCTCTTAGTTTAAAAGAAGTTGAATTTACTTTACCAGGTTGTAATTACCTATGCAATTTGTAACAATAAGAGCATTTCTTGTTTTTTAGTAAAAAATAAAAAAAGCACTTAAAGTTAGAATATCTTGAATAGTTCTTGTATGGAATATAAATGTTGTTTGAGATTTTTAAACCGTAAAGAAGCATAACATCTTCCACTTCCAAAGCATCTTCTAAAAACTTTGCTAAAAATTAATAGCCATCTGGTATTCAGCTCTGTTCATGTTTACAAAATTAGTACCGTGTTCGTAGTCGTATAACTTTGACAGAACTGCTAAATTCAAATATCCTGCTGCACGAAGACTTAAGACGAAGACTACTATTCCCAGTCTACCTCGGCCAAAACACGTCTTCGTCTTCGTACTTCGTTTCCTTGCTCAAACTCGCTTGTACCTGTTCTGAAACAATAATTTTTCAATACCCACAGGCATTCGATATTGAAGCAGCAAAATTAAAAAAACGCATTTTTAAATGTAGTGAATTGGTTTAACCGTGTATATTGAAAGTAAACTTTTATCCACAAACTTAGGTAATTAGATACTATATACATGCATGAGGTAGCGAACAGCATCGCAGCCAGCAGGGCCGTAACTAGAACGATAATTGGGGGGGGGGGTGTGTGTTTATTCATATATTTAGTTCTGCCCGACGGATTTCCATTGTGAGCTATTGCACTTACAAAAGAAATCTGTCGGGCAGAACTGAATATATGAATAAACACCCCCCCAATTATCGTTCTAGTTACGGCTCTGGCAGCCAGGGCCGTAACTAGAACGATAATTGAAAGGGTGAATTATTCATATATCAGTTTCTGCTGCTGACGGATTTCGATTCTAAGCTATTTCGCTTAAAACGAAATACGTCTGGCCGAACTGAATATGTGAATATTAATCGCACACGAATTATGGAACCTAAAAAGTAAAGAATGGTAATCCACAGCATAGAAGGGGGAGGGAACAGTTAAAAGTTTTGAAAAAATCAGTTAAAAATGTAAACACCATGAATAGAGTGAGAAAGTTCAAACAGGGTAAAAACTAGGACTAAAAAAAGTGAATACCTTCACAATGCAGTAAAAAACAAGGTTAAGGTAAAAACAAAAATGGCCGTAAGAATATTTAAAAAAATGCAAAAAAGGATGAAAAATAAAATACAGGGATTAAACAACTGTATAAAAAACAGTTATATAAAAGAAAAGCCTCAATTAGTAAAAAGAGAGTGAATACTGGGGTAATAAAAATACAAACCAGTAAGTATATAAAAACATCGAAAAGCAGTAAGAAACAGGAAAAAATGGAACCAATTTCAGATTTCCCTAAATGACATGGCATTTCGCACAACATAGTGCCAAATACCATCAAATTGTGCTAAATACCATAGCAATTGTGCTTAATGCCATAAAATTTGTGCTAAATGCCATGGTATTTGGCACAATGTTAGCATTGTGCCAAATACCATGGAGATTATGCCGAATGCCATACTCATTATGCCAAATGCCATGGCATTTAGCACGATGATAATGCCAAATGCCATGGCATTTAGCACGATGATAATGCCAAATGCCATGAAATTATGCCAAATGTCAACCAACAATCTAACTATCTATCTATCTATCTATCTATCTATCTATCTATCTATCTATCTATCTATCTATCTATCTATCTATCTATCTATCTATCTATCTATCTATCTATCTATCTATCTATCTATCTATCTATCTATCTATCTATCTATCTACCTATCTATCTATCTATCTATCTATCTATCTATCTATCTATCTATCTATCTATCTATCTATCTATCTATCTATCTATCTATCTATCTATCATCTATCTATCTATCTATCTATCTATCTATCTATCTATCTATCTATCTATCTATCTATCTATCTATCTATCTATCTATCTATCTATCTATCTATCTATCTATCTATCTATCTATCTATCTATCTATCTATCTATCTAATCTATCTATCTATCTATCTATCTATCTATCTAATCTATCTATCTATCTATCTATCTATCTATCTATCTATCTATCTATCTATCTATCTATCTATCTATCTATCTATCTATCTATCTATCTATCTATCTATCTATCTATCTATCTATCTATCTATCTATCTATCTATCTATCTATCTATCTATCTATCAACCTTTTCATAATAATGGACCAAGTAGACTCGTGTACACGCGCGAGCGGCACGAGAACGAAAACATGTCTGGGCTGCCTATGGTTTAAACGTCGTAATGTCATTAAGGTTGTCGTGAATAGCTCAATCACGCAGTGACAATTCCTTTTTGAAATGGCGAGTATATTGTAATGAAGTTTGTTAGATATTCCCAATGATTGTGTAGCGAAACTGCTGTTATCCAAATCTCATTGAACGCAATCTTTCCGAACAAAATTTTCTGAGGCCTCGTACATGTTTTTCTAAGGCCACACGCCCCCCCCCCCCTTTTTTCTTGGTGATTACAACTGACAAACAGCTTCTTTTATAATTAGCGAGCTTTAGCAGTGACTACGAGTACGAGATTCGTCATTCTCGCACGTTGTTTGCTTGCGCCAGCAGCCAAAACTCGTAGTCGTTGGGTTTTCGAGTACGAAGTTTATCAAAAAACTCGTACTCAAATGCCCGGCGACTACGAGTTTTGACTGATGGCGTAAGCAAACAACGCGCGAGAATGACGAATCTCGTACTCGTAGTCGTACTCGTAGTCACTGCTAAAGCTCCCTATTGCCTCCCTTTACGACGGTTTTTGTTTGTAAATTGCGTACATTTACTTCGTAATAAAAATTCTTAATAAAAGACAACATTAAATGGGCCGGTTGATTCATTGTGTTTAAATGCTGAGAGAATAGATCTTCAGGAATCAGGAAAGGTTTGCATTTATACTTGTCCGTCAATATCTGCTAAAATTGCCGACATTACATAAAAACAAATAACTTCCGAGGAGTTGGACTTGTTTTAGCGCAGAGCCAAACACGCAGCATTGTTACATGATACCGTAACATCATGTAATTATAATTACTAGAAATACATGCATGCAGGGTTGCCCTCGCCAATCGCCATTTCAAACGACGCAAATTTTTTCCTGAGCTAGCCAGACCTTAATATAATAGCTGATGTTTCATATTTTTCGGAAGCAAACACAGTCGTAAAGGTGAAATGAAATCACCATTTACCTGCTGCAGTTATAGTCATACAGACTTAGTTAATATTTCAGTATAGCTAAACCTTCAAAACGGCAAAAATAATCACCAGTCCTCACTCGTTCAAATTTTGCGCGTGCGCACAAGTGCCATGAGCATTGAACGTCCAGGTCCATTACATAGAATTTAGACAACTTTGGATTCCGCTATGTTCTGCCACAATGCCCGGGTTTAATTCCTAATTTCCGGGCGGAATTAGTACCCTTGCATGGCCCTCATTAGTACCCTCGCGCCGGGTATAACTATATATATTATATATTCAATGAACTTTAGTAAACTTATAGATTTACGTGCACAAATTTAAAGAAAGAGCGAAAAGATTGGTAATTAATGTGAAAGTTAAGTCCCTATTGTTACATGATACCGTAATACCATGTAATTCTAATTATAATAGCGTTATAACTTATATACTTACTATAACTATATTTATTATGTATTCGATGAATTTTAGCAAACTTAGATGCATGAGTAAGCAAATAGTTACAAACATGAGTAAGCAATTAGCTTTCCACACCTTATCCCACAAACACATAACAATGTGTCGACCACAAACAACAATAGCATGTGTTACAACTCACTGAATTGCGTAGGGGAAATGACTTGTAGTTTTAGTTCTTCCCCTAGCCCTAAATACCGAAAGGAACAATTCCGAAAAGGAATTTCCCTTTGATAGTCCACGCCCTAGCTAAGCGTATAAAGTCTGAGCACAGCTAGACAATAGGGACACACAAATACTGAAGAGAGAAAAGAAGGCTAAATCTATAGAGCGATACACCTGACGATGCTAATGTTACGCAAGGCTTTATTGAGTTTAGAGATATGCATATAAAAATAGCTGAAAAGAAATAGGAACATCAATAGCATGACAGGTATTAGTGAATGATTTTTGCCACAAGACGCCTGAGTAAATATAATTTTCGGCCATTAGCAAACATTAATCGCCTTTCCCTTTCATGTATGACATTTCGATTAAATAAGTAAGAGGAAAATATTTATAATCTTCTCAGAACTAATACGTGGATAAACAGTCTTAAGTCGTCACTTATCTCAATTGTCGCATTTTTATAAAAAAATGTGTGCGCTGTTGGCCATTCAAGTTCTTATGTCAATCAATTGTGTTAAAAATGTTGCGCGGTCAAGCATGTAATAGATTACGTCATCAAAAGTTCAATTCGATAAAATAAGAGTGAAAATAGTTTAAGTTGAAAGATATTGTTCACAGACGTATTATTTGTAAATTTTACTAGTTGTTGATGATAAATATTTCAAGTTGTGAACATTTCTAAGTATTGATCGATAGAGCAGAAGACCAACTCGACTAGTGCGACAACGCCTTAAACAAACAAGATTTGAGAGTTGGAACGAACTTCTAAGACCAGCCCACATTTCTAACTTACAACGCTGATTGGTTGAATAAGGATCAGCCCACTCTGGTTGATGACGTCTGCAAGTTTCCCTGAACCGTTACCATAAAAGGGCGTGCACAACTCCCCCAACCTTCAGTGGACTAGCGGAGTAAAAAGCATTTGAAACGTTAGAGAAGCTCAACCTTTACAGAACCAACGACCAAAGACAAGAACAGCAACGACGACTATTTGAAGAGAAGAGAAGAACGAAGCCAGAAACTAACATTAATGAACATTAGTTAACCTATTATAAAAGATCTCCTACCTCGCGTAAATAGAAAATAAAGATATCTAACAGTAAATTAAGCTGACAATGGACACATCAACATGGATTTCCAACTAGCTATTCGCTGTTCAAGTTACCATGCAGTCAAGCTATCGCACTATGTTACTCAGATCAGATAAGTTATTATTAGTGTTCGGGAGACTTTCGTTAACCGAATGAACTTCGTAGGAACTTCGGAACTTACCGGAAAAACACATGTTTTTTCGGGTTGTGTGGTTTTTCGTTTTTTATCTTTGGATAATCTTTTGTAAAAGCTTTTGTTCAACATTTTTTTATTGAATTATATTATTTATTGTTTTGTACCAATCGTATGGGATAATTTGCGAGTTCTGAAGAACATTTGGCGATCCTGCCAGGACGTTTAGCAACCTTTTTTACCGTATAAATGCGTATCGTGCGAGGCTATTGAAATATGCCGTTGGAAGGTGAAAATGCCGAACAAAACGACGCGGTTAGCTCGAAGGAATTTGGAGCTAAAGATCAGGAAATCGAAGGGAAGATCTTGGAATTAAAACGTAACAAAAGGGCGAAGAAAACAGCGACCACAAAGGTACGACACAATGTTGAAAAGTTGTGTGCTTCGAAGGGTGAATTGAGCGTAGAAGAGATTGAGAAAGATATCGCAGCACTTTGGGGGTTATTAGAAGTAACATTGGATATAATGGACGAACTAAGCCTTGTTTATATAAAAACGGATGATCGTGAAAATAAAGAGGCAATGGCAAAAGAGTCTGACTCTTTCGAAGCCGTGATAAATGAGTGTATTAGCAAAGCTGAGTCGATTATTAAGGACAATTTGAGGAAGAAGTCAAATCAAAGTACTATAAGCGCGACCGGAGGCGTGGAAGCGAGTGTGTCTACCCATTCACAACAGGGGCCTGAGTCCAATGTGCCTTCGGGGGCAGAGGAAAGGGTAACAGTCTCGAGTCGTCTAAACGCCCTGAAATTACCAGTTTTTGATGGGAATAAGATCATTTTCGAGGATTATTGGGCGTTATTTGAAAGCTTAGTGGACAAAAGTACTGAATCTGCGAATGTAAAGATGGCTAGACTGCGGCAAGGTCTCACAGGGCCACCCCTCGAAGCAATTAGAGGGCTTGGTGTATCCCGGCCAGAATACGAGGAAGCGAAAGAACAACAAAGTATGGTGGTCAACGTAGGCAGCTACAAGCATACATGGATCAACTTGAGAGTATGACCCCGCTCAAAAACAACGATATTAATGCATTTGAGAGGTTCTCAGATCTTGTTCGCGTATCGGTTGTGAAGTTGAAGGCAGACGGTAGAGATGGCGAGTTAGGGGAAGGGACATTGCATAGTTTGTTGGTTAAGAAGCTTACGGATAGGCAGGTGGAAAATTATAACCGGTGGTTGGGGGAGAATAAGAAGATGCGATCTGTGTTGAATCTCCGGGATTGGTTGAAGGAAGAGGTTCGAATTAAGATAGAGGCTGCTGAGATGGTGAATGGGATTGAGGATGGCGGTGACAGAGGCGGTAGAAAGATTGAGGGTAGTCGTGGTAGACATGGTTTTAGGACGGGGGACAGAAATAGTAGTCGTTCGTTTTTCAGTGATGGCGTAGGAAGTAGCAAACCACCATGTGCTTTGTGTATGGGAAACCATGGAGTGTGGGCATGTAAGAAGTTTCAGGGAATGTCGGTTGAATCTCGATGGACGGTTGCGAAAGAAAAACATCTGCGTTTTCGGTGTTTGGCCAATAACCATACGGGAAAGTTGTGCACGCGGTCAAAGGTGTGTAATATTGATGGGTGTAAAAGAAACCATCATACGCTATTACACGATACACTACCGAAACAGCAAGACGGCCAAGACAGAACCAATGTTGAACCACGGGAGGGGGAGCATCAACGTACTCTTACATCGGTAAACGAAGGCGAAAGAGCGGAGACATTGTCACTGCGAACAGTTCCCGTTTGGTTAAAGGCTAATAAGCGGAAGATAAAGATCAACGCGATTTTGGACGATGCCTCAAACGAAACCTTTCTAAATGAGGAAGTTGCGGGAGTACTCGGGTTATCTGAACCATTTGAGACTGTGAAGGTACATGTTCTGAACAACGAAGTGGAGACTTTTCAGTCAATGCCAGTGAAACTAACAATTGAGAGTGTTGATGGTCAATTCAGCAAAGAAATACAAGTAAAAACTTGTCCAAAGAAGGTGACCGGAACGTATAAAGTAGAGGACTGGGGTAAAAGCAAAGGGAACTGGCCTCATCTTAGGGAGTGTGAATTTGCCAAACCTGCAAAAGACGGGCTGGTAGACTTACTAATCGGTGTTGACAATACGGAACTGCATTATTCCAGAGCAGATGTCCGGGGCAGTGTTGGAGGTCCAGTTGCTCGACTAGGTCCACTCGGGTGGACTTGCATAGGGGCGCCAGAAGATCGCAAAGTTGCTGGACCTAGAACTCATGTTATACGAACCCACCTATTGGCTAATCCAGTCAAGATTGACAATGGAAGTGTTTGCTGTGATGTTGACCAGTCTATTAAACGGTTTTGGGAAATCGAGAGTTGTGGCACTGAAGCTTGTGAGACTAAGATTTACACTGAAGAAGAAAATGTAGCCCTAACGCTGGTCAAGGAATCGTTGAGCTACGATAACACTACTCATCGATACACTGTGGGAGTTCCGTGGAAGGTTGGTCGTCCGAAGTTGCCAGACAATCGCGAACAGGCCACATCCCGTTTGTGCAGCACGGAAAAGAAGTTGAAGAAGGACGAATTTCTGAAGAACGAGTACCAGAAAACTATCGACAGGTATATCGAGAAGGGGTATCTGAAACGTGTGTCTAACGACGAAGAAATTCCGCCAGAGGTATGGTATCTACCGCACTTCCCCGTGGTACGAATGGATAAAACATCGACAAAGGTGCGAATCGTGTTCGATTGTTCTGCAAAAACGGACGGAGTTTCGCTAAACGACGTGATTCACGCAGGTCCAAAATTACAACAGGACCTGTTTGACGTGTTAATTCGTTTCCGTCGAAACCCAATCGCGCTCGCGTGTGATATTAGAGAAATGTACTTACAAGTTGAGATCATGGAGAACGACCGACGTATGTTTCGAATCTTATGGAGAGACCTGGACAGTGATCGGGAACCTGATGTTCTCGAATTCAGCCGCGTAGTCTTCGGAAAGAATGCTTGCACCAATGGAATGCCAGTTCGTTATTCAAGAAAACGCCAGACGGAACCAAAGTTCATATCCAATGGCAGCTGAAACAGTGTTAAAATCCACATACATGGATGATTCAATCGACAGTGTTGATACAAAGAAGAGGGAATCGAGTTATATCAACAACTGGATAGTTTATGGAGCTTAGCGGGTATGAAAGCAAGAAAGTGGATATCAAATTCTTCCAAGGTCATTTCAGCTACCCCAGAGGAAGATCGTGTAACTGAATTCAATCTAGGTGGCCAGAAAGATCCTGTAGTAAAAACACTTGGACTTTCGTGGGAGAGCAAAGAGGATGTGCTATCCATTGCTACTGCGGAAGTACCACCACATATATCGTTGACTAAACGGAATGTGTTGAAAAAAATCGCTACCGTATTCGATCCGCTCGGTTTTGTAAGTCCATACGTGGTTGTGGCCAAGATTCTCCTGCAAGAACTTTGGACGAGAGGTTATGATTGGGACGAAGTTATTCTGGATGAAATTGGGGACAAAATTATGCAATGGTTCCAACAGTTGGAGAGTTTAGCAGATATACGAGTTCAAAGGTGTCTTCGCGAAATGAAGAAAGTTGTAATGAAGAAAGTGATCACCTTCGTTGATGCATCCATCCAGGCGTATGGGACAGTGGTCTATTTATTGTGCGAGTATGATGACGGACAGCGAGTAGCCGGATTATCGCGTCTAAGAGTAAGGTCGCACCATTAAAACCTATAACGGTGCCAAGGCTGGAGCTGATGGCCGCGATACTTGGTCTTCGTTTAGCACAGAACATTATTCGTACTTTAGAAATACCAGTCCAGACGGTATTGTTCTTCTCAGACAGCAAAGATGTGTTATGGTGGGTGCGAGGTCGCGGGCGTGATTTCCGACCGTTTGTGGCAAATCGTGTAGGAGAAATACAAATGGAAACTGAACCATGGCAATGGCAATATGTACCCACTGAGCAAAACCCAGCAGACCTGTGCACACGGGGAGCAAGTCCATCTGAGCTCAAGAATAGTCCTTTGTGGTGGAATGGACCCTCATGGTTGCTCGAAGATCAGGCTAAGTGGCCAAAGATGGATGTCGGAAGTCGTCCAGTTAAGTTGCCGGAAACGAAAGCTTCAAAAGAGGAAGACAAAGAAAAGGAGAATTCGACTTTTACCACTCGGCAAGGCAGGTGTTCAAAACAGCAGCCGACCGAACAGCAGGTAACGAATGACGAATGGCGACTCGACTCGAAACGTTTTTCAAGTTGGATGCGACTCGTACGGTTACACGCCAGAGTGAAGAGAGTAGTGCACAACATGAAGAACGGTGCTAAAAGGCATTCCAGCAAGGAACTAATTCCAGACGAAATCCGAGATGCGGAGGAAGACATCATCCGTCAGGCACAAAAGGAGGCTTTTGTAGAGGAATATGCAATGTTACAGAAGAAGAAACCTGTCTCACAACGAAGCATTCTGTCCAAGCTTAACCCCGTACTCGATGAACAAGGAATTATTCGTTCGGACAGTCGCTTGAGATATGCAGAGTATCTACCCTATGATGTTCGATTTCCTATAATACTACCTAGAGGTCACTGGACGACGAAACTGATTGTCAAATATCATCACGAGATGGCGAATCATGACGCAGGCACCAATTTCGTGTTATCCCAGATTAATCAGAAATATTGGATCATCGCTGCCCGTGAAGAAATCAGAGAATGGGAAAGAACCTGTAACGAGTGTAAGAAACGCAAGAACAAAGCAGCAACGCAGATCATGGCTCCTTTACCCTCAAGACAGACTCGCTTGACATACCGTGCATTCGACCAAGCAGCGGTGGATTACGCTGGACCCATTCAGACTATCCAGGGCAGGGGAAGAAACGACTAAAGCGTTGGTTGTGTGTTTTACATGTACGGCTACGAGGGCCATACATCTGGAAGTGGCGTTTGGTTTGGGCACTGATAGTTTTCTCAACGCTTTCGAAAGATTCACGAGCAGACGAGGAAATACCATCGGAGGTAATAAGTGATAACGGAACAAACTTCGTTGGGGCTGTTAGTGAGCTAAAAGAGTTGGCGAATAAGTTGGACAAGGAAAAGATTCAAAGATTTACGCGCACAAGAATGTCAAATGGGTTTTCAACCCTCCTGCCGCCCCACACCTTGGTGGAGTTTTTGAGAGCATGGTGAAAACAGCAAAAAGAGCATTGTACGCGGTGTTGGGAAACAGTGACGTAACAGACGAGGAGTTTAATCACCGCGGCCGGTGTGGAGAGTTTAATCAATTCGAGACCCTTAACATATCAGTCGGCAAGCCCACAAGATGACGTACCATTGACTCCGAACCATTTTCTTCACGGTCAGGTCGGGGGATCCTTCGCTCCAGAAGTCGTTGACATCGAACCGTTTAATCCTCGAAAGCGATGGCGTAAGGTGCAAGATTTAATCTCTAGAGTTTGGTCGAGGTGGCTTAAAGAATACTTGCCCACACTGATCATGAGACCAAAGTGGACGGAAGTGGTGAAGGATTTAAAAGAAGGAGATGTCGTTCTATCTATCGAAAAATATCTGCCTCTTGGTCGTTGGCCTTTAGCACGAATTGTTCAGACGTTTCCAGGACGAGATGGCCACATTAGGGTGGCGAAAATCCAGTGCGGAAATAGAACACTTATGAGGCCGATCCATAAGCTGGTTCCCATAGAACATTAGAGTGTTAAAAGATAATAGGAAATTCAGTTAAACGTTGGTTGACATTAATGTTTGTTAGAATAGTCACACTTCCTTTCCTCAGTGTGGGGAGGGGGGATGTTCGGGAGACTTTCGTTAACCGAATGAACTTCGTAGGAACTTCGGAACTTACCGGAAAAACACATGTTTTTTCGGGTTGTGTGGTTTTTCGTTTTTTATCTTTGGATAATCTTTTGTAAAAGCTTTTGTTCAACATTTTTTATTGAATTATATTATTTATTGTTTTGTACCAATCGTATGGGATAATTTGCGAGTTCTGAAGAACAATTAGGTTAATATGTAAATATACTTTGCTAGGTTTAAATTGCTATAGTTCACTAACGGTTTAAAAATGCTCAACACTGTTCTCATTTTTCGTTCTCACCGGTGACGTAACAGCATGTATATTGCTACATTAGAAGTCGAGTTCAAAACAGCAAAATAACTCTTTAATAAATAATAATAAAGTAATCATTTAGTTTTATTTTATTACTTTTTGCTACTCTTAACTCAAAACAGTCAAGGATACTTCAAACTCCTCCCAGTCCAACAATTTTTCAAACTAAAAGCATCCGCTTCACTTCTTACCAATGTCAGTTGATTACGTCGCTATAGCAACTTAATTGAATTTTCAAATTTCTATGGAACACAGCGAACATCCTAATGATCTCACGATCATTTCTATTCTTTTTCCTGGTCATAACGCCGAAAAATGTCTTCCAGAATTACCGACTCAGACAAGAGACCGTTTAAACGATGTTTGTGGCGGCCAGCTTGAGCTTGCTGTTGCTTGCTATTGGAAACATTTCAGCAAACCAATGTTCCCCGACGAATTACGACACAATCATAAGAGGTGAGTATGGTCAAAAAAAGTAAGAGAAAAAATATTGTCGTGAAACACCATTTAACTGTTTCATATGGTGAAATCAGTCCCGAATAAAACACAAAGTTCTAGTTGAAATTTGGACATTAAAATATTTGACATTCAAGGATTTTGTTAAAATTTTTAGGAGGTCCATCATTGCCTGCGGATGAAATAATATCAAGACACAATGTTACCTCTTGAATTGTGATGTTAGGATGTCACACTCACTGCAAAGACGAAAACAAATGTGTTGGATTCAACTACAGAACAAAAAAAATGTTGAAAATTGTCAACTGACAAACGTTACTAGAAAGAAAAAAAAACGAAAACGGGAGATTGGATATTGATGCAAGATGTTGAAGCGGTAAGGCTTCCAAGATTTTTTGCTAGCATTTACGTATACGTTGATATATTTATTCAGGATTCTGACATTATTATTAAACTTCAAAATCTGCTCTCATTGCTTCATCTGCATAGTGAATTGCTGTTGCATTTGTTGCATTTCTGTTTCTCCTATCACCTACAGAGCTTCCATGTGTTGGCCTTGTTGCATTTCTCTATATGCTCTCTTCTCTTCCTGTTTTTCCTCTTTTTCTTCTTTCTCCACCCGTCTATCCTTTGTCGTAACTTTGTCCTAACATTTTCACTTGTCCCTGCATTTTCGCAATTCCACCCATTGCTCTTTCTCTTATCTCTAAAGCATGTCCCCTTTCTTGTTCAATCTGATTTTTCACTTCATTTTCACTCACTGTCCGGTTCAATTGTCTTGAGAGGAGAACATTCTTGGCAGGGCGCCGCTATCCCTCCTCACTTATTGACACTGCCTTATCTAAGGCTTCCGACATTTCCCGCTTAGACTCTCTTAGAGACCCCGCCTCTACCACCCCTAGCATTAATTCTACCCCCTTAATTCTAACATCAACCCGTGAATTTTGCTGTTAGAATTTTCATATCTTGCAGAATGATCCCGAGAGATCTTTCATTTTCACCGATACATGCCTAGTCTGTTTTTGGCAGAAAAATATCCAGGACACATTGGTTAACAGCTATTTACAGCAAAACTGTTCAGAGCCAAAAGGCACATTTCCTTGTGGCATTATCGAATGTAAAACATGCTCATTTACCGATTCCGGCACAGTTATTTCGGCTCTCAATTCACAGTTTTTCATCAGGCACCATTTCACATGCCTCTCCTCCAACCTCATATTTATTGCATCTCATGCAACAAATGTGGTTTACTATATATCGTTTCAACGAACGGTAAGTCAAAGGGTTGAACGCTTTTAGACCACTGATTTTCAAACGTTTTTTCCCAAGCGTTCGAACGGGCAATTTCGAACGATGAACGATCTCGAAAATCGTTTCAACGAACGCTTGAAGCGTTTGAACGGCAAACGAACGGATAACGAACGATATTTTTGAACGAACAAAATAGCGTTAACGTATGTTTTTCCGTGGAAGGTCACATATATTGGCGAAACTGGAAGATCTCTAAGGGTAAGGTTTGGTGAACACCGTAGGTCAGTCAACAACCACGATAACACCAAGCCTGTTGTCAGACAATTTACCTCTGGTAATTATTATGTCACGGACATGACAATTAGAGCCCTCTGCCCCTTCTCCGGTACTAACGATAGCCGTAAACGACAAGAAATGCGACTCGTCCAGTCTTAGCACTATTCATCCCTCCGGCATAAATGAATGACTCTCTTTCATTTAAGCTCATTCGCCCAGAGTAATATGACTTCCATTTCTTTTTTTACATCAAAGCTGGTTGTGATACGTTTTCGTTGCTGATCAGGCTTCCCTCATTGCGGGCTATTCTTAGCCCACAATCAGGCGTCTCTTTAGCAATGTAATGCATTCCAATTTGTTTTGATTTTTTGTTTTCTATTGGCCCATTTTTATCACGTGTTTTGCCTCCATACAAAACATGTACTCTCCCTACTTATTTTCATACCAACTTTCCTGGCGAAGGCCCTCAGGTCGAAACATCGAAAAGTGTTTTGTCTATTTTAGGCAGTTGTTATACCACATTTGATGCTATATATTTTGGCTACCTTTCCCTTGAGCATCCCGTTTTTTCGCCCATTTCGCTTTCTGAATGACTAACACTGAATCTAAAAAGAAAATATCAATGTAAAAATTTAAAGCTTTGGAAACACTAGCTATATTATTACATATTTTTATGATCAGTTTAAAAAAATTGAGTATAGTGCAAGCGACGGTATCTTTATTCGAGAAAAAAACATAAAATACCCTCGACGTCTTAGACACGACGTGAAATGTTGTGCGGTTTTAGCAGTATTTTTGTTCTGCGAACAAGGCTAGGACTGTTCGTATCAAGCATCCCTAGTACAAGCCGATGTACGAATTTCAGAAATCCGTGTAATTATTTGTAAACAAGGTATATTGACCGGTCAATTTCGTTCGCCTAATTAAATCATTTATCTACCACCCCAAATTCTCTGGGCTTTACGTCTTTGACGATCAGAGAATTTCAGAGCAGCAACAACGTCAAAGATAGCAGAAGTGATTTACTAGTTTTTCCCACTTTACTGAGTATTTTATATATTTTTTGTACAATTAATGCATGGTTAAAAAGGAGTAGTTAAACAATTTTGTCAACAATATTTGATGTCAGACCCTCACCGAAGGGAAAGATCCTGCCGATTTACATCCAGTTAATCACAGTAACTGGACCCGATTCAAATGAACAAAATATGAAACTGTAGAATGAATTATCAACGCACAACTTTCAATGGTGATTACGCGAGAAAAAAGTGTTATTATTAAACTGTAAGAAAATATTTTCTCCATATCTGCATTTATTGGATCACTCTGCATGTATACGTGCAAAAATACAACCTTTTCCTCTCTTGAGAAATATACGGTATCTCAGGTTTCTTTTGTCTATACCGACAAAAATGAACATTGAAGAAATAAAGGAATTATAAATTATAAGGAATAAAGAAATTATAAATAATCCCCGGAGCTGGTGCGGAGCACCGGGCGAGGGTACTAATTCCGCCCGGAGATTAGGAATTACACCCGGAACCCGGGAGAACATAGCGTAATCCAAAGTTGCCCAAATGTCATGGACGTTCAATGGTCATGGTACTTGTGCGCATGCGCGAAATGCGAACGAGTGTAGACTGGTAATCAGCAACTTCCTAATTGGCTAAGACGAAACCTTTGTGTTTCAGTAAAAAACGTCAGAAATTTAACTGTCATTTTGCAAACTATTTTTTAAAAGAATGTCTCGAAAACAAAATATGAAATGTGGAATCAAAAAACAGATAAAACACTGGGAAGAGTTTAAAATATTATCAGAACTGGAGGAATTATAGGTGAAAAGGAACAACTCGAATATAATCCTTGAAATGGTAGGAGTCTATTTTGTTTATTTCGAGGTTTATTTCGTGTTTGCTGTACGAATACATTTTATGAGCTTGGTACAGTATGTCGCTTCGCTCGGTTTTGCGAAGACGTGACCGACTATTTAAGGCTTTACATGATCGTTTTAACTTCAAAAAGAGTTCTTAAAAGTGTATTTTGGAGTTTTAATATAACAAATATCACTTTAAAGGTTTATAGAGTCGACTGCAATCACTGCATGAATTTGATAATTGAAAAACAACATTCGACGTTCACTGCTTGGTTATTTATATTATTTGTGCTGTTTTGATGTTTTGAAAGTTTAGCTATAATGGAGTATTAACTCTCACTTAAACTGTGAAAGTCTATAACTTAATGCAACGGAAAGCAGCCGGAAAACGGGTGATTTCACTTCACCTTTACGACTGTATTTGTTTCCGAAATATTTGAAACATCAGCTATCGGCTTTACATTTACACACTTCATAATATTGAAGGTTAGGTCTGGCTAGCTCAGGAAATATTTTGCTTCGTTTGAAATGGCGAGGGGTTGCTGCATGCATGTATTTCTAGTACTGTTGTAGTAGGGTAGTTAATGTAGTGATATATTGATTAATATATAAAAATTAAAATCAACATCTTCAGTATTGTTGTAATTAATTTTGTATAGGCAAAGAGTAGAGTTGAAAAAGAAAAGCTTACCAGGAAATCAGGTAATTTACTTTAGAATTACAACAAATAACATAATTGTTGGGGCATTCAGAATATCATTCCGTATAAAACTACGGGGATTTTAATATTAACTAAATTAATTGACTAACTATTATGCAATGATTATAACTATCATCTGTTAATACGCGCCGCATTAATGCAATACGTACCAATGAACATCAGGAACTCTTTGAACAAATTTTGATTGGGGTGGCACCTTAACCCTATCCTTTACTTAGCAAAGTAGAAATGTTGATCAAGCCCGAAGGTGCTGTTTGAAAAATTTGTGGGATCAGTAGTCTGTTTTCAAAATTTTTTTTCAATGATTTCATTCTTGAGAGATGATATTAGTAAAATTTACATTGCCTTAATTTCGAGTAGGATTCATAAAATCTCAAATTAAAGTCAGATGTCGGTTAGACACCAGGAATCAAACCTACGCCTTGCGTCGCCGGTGCAATGATTCTGCATGAGCGAGATGCAGAGATAACTGACAAGAACGAGCGTAGTTGGTGTGGATATAGCAAGGTAATTCCCGGGAGTATGGGTCACAATAAATCACTGAATTAAGACTTTGTGCTACTTTACTCAATAAAGGCGTCCTAATTTTGAGTCGAAATAATACACGTAGGCTCCTGAGAAGATCTTTTATTTCAGATTTTGATGAGTGTTCCCAGGGAACTCACAAATGTCACTCAAACGCCACCTGCAAAAACACTATTGGTTCCTACGAATGTCACTGTCGCAGAGGATTTTTAGGAAATGGGAAAATATGTTCAGGCAAGATTATTTTAATCGACTTTTTAATATAGCTAGGGGCTCGAACCAAGTATAGACAGAGTTATCGATAAAAGCACTTCTAGCTGTAAGGAATCTGGTACGACATTGTTCTCTCTTATGAAGTCGAGCGTACCAGCACTCTTTTGATGGATAATTTCTTAAATGCAATGCAATGCAATGCATGAAGATAATTGTATTAAACAATGTAAGTGGTCTTCGACTAGGATCCTGACAAGATCGTTTATTTCAGATGTTCACGAGTGTTCCCTGGGAACTCACAAATGTCACTCCGCCACCTGCAATCACACTATTGGCTCCTACAAATGTCACTGTCGCAGAGGATTTGCTGGAAATGGGAAAATATGCTCAGGTAAGAATATTTTAATCGACTTTTTTATAGAGCTAGGAGTTCCAACCAAGTAGACAGTCGATAAAAGCACTTCTAGCTGTAAGGGATATGGTACGACATCGTTCTCTCTTATAAAGTCGAGTGTACGAGCATTCTTTTGACTGATAAATTTCTTCAATGCAAAGCATGAAGATGTATTAAACAATGTAAGTGGTCATCGACTAGGCTCCTGACAACATCGTTGATTTCAGACGTTGACGAGTGTTCCCTGGGAACTCACAAATGTCACTCAAACGCAACCTGCAATAACACTATTGGCTCCTACGAATGTGACTGTCGTACAGGATTTGCTGGAAATGGCAAAGCATGTTCAGGCAAGATTATTTTAAACGATTTTTTATATGCAACTGAAATTTAAGATGGCACCGGGATCGCAAAGGCGTAGGTTTGTTTCCTGCCGGAGGATCGATAGTTGATACATTTTTTTTAACTGTTCCCTGACTGAAATTGAGCTGTGATTTACTCTCAAACTAAAACGTATTAAACCATTTTTTTAAAATTGTCTTTCATCGAGTAAAGTGCCACAAAATCAATATGATTATATCTTCCGGGGGTGTAGGAAGAATTTCAATTTTTTCTTTGGGGGCGCAAGTTTCCAGAGGTACTTTTCAGTTAAAAAAACGGCTGCTAAAATCAAGCTAAAATGGGTATATGCCTGGATGGTTTGGTTGTTTTAGTTTGTTTTTTCCTAAACGATTTAAAGTTTAGAATGTAGACATACAATTATTTGCGTTTTACACCACTGGGAAAATAAAACCGTATTATTCAGGTCTCCGCTGCGCTGATTTGTATGAAAAGGGAAATAACCAAAGTGGAATTTATGAAATTAATCCTGATGGAAAGGGAAGTTTCAAAGTGTTTTGTGATATGACAACATCAGGTGGAGGATGGACTGTATTTCAACGTCGTCTTGATGGAAGTGTTGACTTCTACCGAGGATGGCAAGATTACAAGAAAGGTTTTGGTAACTTAAGCGAAGAATATTGGCTTGGTCTTGACAAAATACACATGATGACAAATATTTCACAAAATGAACTTCGTATCGACATGGAAGATACATCTGGAAACACGGCATACGCTCATTATGATTCATTTAAAGTCAGCAGTAAAAATGAGAAGTACAAGTTGAATGTTGGAGGTTATAATGGTAAGCATTTTACACGCATTACAAGCATTAAACGGAGTCACATTTCAATGAAATTATAGGAGATTCCAATTCTCTTTACAATCAACTTTGCAGTGAACCAGCATATTATATAATCATCTTTGCTATTAACCAACATATTATATATTGCATCTAGAAAAATTTATCAATGATTCAGCGATATATATATAATTAATTATACATTTATATATATATATATATATATATATATATATATATATATATATATATATATATATATATATATATACACACCCATTTGCAAAAACGTTGGCCGCAGATAGATAGATAGATAGATACTCGAAATCTAATTAACGTTCTAACGGATCCTAAGGCTCACATCAGTACGATAGCACACCAGCTCTTACACTATATTTTTGCCCGCTGCCGATCGGTAGGGATGGAGACGGTATCCGAGCGAAACGGTCGGGCTAGGGGTGAAACGGTGTTTCTTTTGAGTTTGCTGTTTTCGGCGCAGATAATAACTCAACGAACCATGCTATTTTAACGGTACCTCCTCCATCCCGTGATCAACTGTCACACGTGAGTCACTGAAGTGAAACCGTGGAATAAACGATACGAACATCAAAGTACACACACACACAAAACAAAAAAAAAAAATACCTGTAAATGTGGCGATCATTAATGAATTTACCTTTACCCCAAACACCCATTCCACGACCAAAACGGGTGTGAAAAGAACTGTGCTTAATCCTGCAAAACAAACTAACAAAAAAAACAAAAACCCCAGCGAGATTAATAAGACGCTTCTCCCGTAGAGTTCACAACATCGCGTGAAGTCGTTAGGGAAAGGGGCGGGATGGGTCACGCAAGCAACTAACAACTCGATCAGGCAAACTGGGCTCATATTTGTACTCACCGGAGGGGGCAAGTAGCCGACCGGACAAGCGTCCTAGGACCCGCGACACTACGATACGAAGACCCGTATAACATTAACTTCCTTTATTATTTAATAATAAATACATTTAACGTTCTAACGGATCCTAAGGCTCACATCAGTACGATAGCACACCAGCTCTTACACTATATTTTTGCCCGCTGCCGATCGGTAGGGATGGAGACGGTATCCGAGCGAAACGGTCGGGCTAGGGGTGAAACGGTGTTTCTTTTGAGTTTGCTGTTTTCGGCGCAGATAATAACTCAACGAACCATGCTATTTTAACGGTACCTCCTCCAAGTATGTCTCCAAGCCAGATGAGGGGTTGGAGTTAGGTTACCGTTAACCTTCTCCACCAGTCTCCAACCCTACAGCAGCGGGGCAACGTTGAAAAATGACTGCAGCGATGTGCGAACGTAGCGAAGGTAAGCTTGGCTAGTCCGACGTCCAAGAGCTTGAATTAGATGATCCGGAATCCCAGCCGCAGCGGCGGAAGTAGCAGCCCCAATGCGAAAGCTGTGAGATGAGTAGTTCCCCCAATTACGCCGGCTCGCCTCAAGATTTTGCGAAGGAAAAAATTGACTTGTTGAGCAGTTAAGGGGAAGCCATCCGACCACAGGAATAAAGGACCAGGGCCGCTGCCACGCATATCGAGGTACGCCTGAAGCGCGAAGACAGGGCAGAGACGATTGCTTGAAGACCCGATGTACAGGACCTGTCCGACGCCAAGAGGATCAGTCTTAGAAAGCCAGAAAGCACGCAGACCAAAACATAACTGCATCGTAGACGCCAAGATCACCAACCGTCGACGAATGAATAACATCCAATAGATCGCGGGTTATGGGGCAGCGTAACGAGGAAACGCCAGACCGAGAACGACGGATGCCCTGAAGCAGACGACGAAACCGTGGTTTCTCTTTCGGAAGCCAAGGTCAATATGATAGGAACGGACAGCAGCTAGGTAAACATTAAAGGAAAAAACTCCGTATTGAGCCGAATAGGGTGGGTAGGTGAACGAAAAGCGCAGAGCAAATTAATCATACGCCGGAGGAACGTGCGACCGGGCGGAACAACTTTCGTAACGTGGTGAAGCGAGCCGATAAAGGATTCTAACTCTCGACGAGTGCACCAAGACTTACGATTCCATTTTTTAAGAAGCTCTACGATGGCCACAAATTTTAGCGGATGGCAACCGAGCAGACTGGGTGAGAGAATTTAGTTCCACACCTAAAAAGACTAACGTAGTAGTAGGACCCTCGCACTTTGACGGATGGAGAGGCAAACCCAAACGGAGGAATAAGGACCTGGCGATGGCTACATTACTAGCGCACTCGGTGGAGTTGCCGGGGCCAAGGGTCAGGAAATCGTCGAGGTAGCGAAGGAGAAAACGAACGCGATAATTAGCTTTAAGAATCCATTCCACCATTTCGGCGACGGAGTTGAAGATAAATGAGGCGGAACGCAGACCAAACGGAAGAGCCAAATCGACGAAATATGACTCAGGCCACCACATGCCAAATAAGAAACGTTCGTCAGGTCTGAGAGCGATGTTACGGTACGCACATTCTACGTCAAATTTGGCCATAAGAGCACCCGGACCAAGCTGTACAAACGAGCAATGGCATGATCGACGGAGATGTAAGTCAACGAGAAAGGATCCTTGGGGATGCCGTCATTAACGCTATGGCCTTCGGGTGACGACAAATCCTGAATGAGACGCCGTTTACCAGGCTGGCCTTTCTTTGGAACGACCCAAAACGGGCTGCACTGTAGATTAGGAAACGGTGGCGAGGCAAAAGGACCCACGACACGACCATGCGAAATTTCATTTGCCAAATATTTGTCGATAACATCGGGATGTTGCAAGGCCGATTTCATGTTTCGGTGCGATGGTCGTAAAGAGACTAGTGAAGGATCAAAACCCGACGGAAAGCCGTGAGCTATACCATCCAACACGTAGCGAACCATAGCTTGATTGGGATGGTTGATTAATTCCCGATGAAACTCGACGTATTGAAGCGGCGAAACGCGGGAGACCAACGGAAACAGGATGCGGGACTCCGGCAACGGTGGATCTACAGCACGAACGAAAGCACCTACAACGGAGCAGAAAAATAGCAAGAACAGCGAGCGGAAACGAACGGAGCGACCGGTGCGAACGGTACGAACGGTGCGACCAGTGCGAACGGTACGAACGGCGCGACCAATGCGATCGGTACGAACGGTGCGACCAGTGCGATCGGTGCGAACGGTACGAACGGAGCGACCAGTGCGAACGGTACGAACGGCGCGACCAATGCGATCGGTACGAACGGTGCGACCAGTGCGATCGGTGCGAACGGTACGAACGGAGCGACCAGTGCGAACGGTACGAACGGTGCGACCAGTGCGATCGGTGCGACCGGTACGAACGGTGCGAACGGTGCGATCGGTGCGACCAGTGCGATCGGTACGAACGGTGCGAACGGTGCGATCAGTGCGAACGGTACGAACGGTGCGACCAGTGCGATCGGTGCGAACGGTGCGAACGGTACGAACAGTGCACAACTAAATCCCAAGTGAAGCTAGATAACTATTTTAATCAGCAAATTCATAACCGAACACGAATTACAAAAAAAAAAAAAACTAAAATAGCGCACAGAACAATGTTAACGTCCGGAACAACGGGAACAAACGAACCGACCACTACGTATTAACTAACGACGCGAGGTGTCTGATGATAGACGCTACTTCGCGGGTTGCGAGCGAGATGGTGAACGAGGACAACGTGTAGACTGGTGGGCCACGCTACGACGATGGATTGCACGACAACCCGGAAAATCACAGGCATGACGGAACCGACACCGGAGGAATTGCGATGAGCACCGACCAGCGTTCCAAGAGTGACAAATAATGGACGACGACGGGGTACCGAACGCTTCAAGGGAGCTGGAGGACGAGGAAAACGAAGTAGATACCCGCGAAGCAGGAGTAGAAGAAAACTCCCGGCGCCGAATATATGAAAATTATACAGCTCCGGGTGGAGTTGTAACCAATCGGTGAGGCGGAGAGCAGCTGCATGGCGACGAAAAGCGCGATCGTACGCGATCCCCCGAGCCAAGATGCTTCTGAGCGGAACGCAAAATAAGTAGCTGGTAGCGAAGCAAATCCGGGGAGCGAGACGGCCAAAAATTCGTCATCACGAGGATAAACAGAAAAGGCTGGGAGCCAAGTCATAATATCTGTAATTTCCTTAGGGCGCTTTGACGGTCGCAAAACTAATTCGTTATCCCCGATGGTAAACGAAGGAGCGTCATGAACTGAAGTTTCTTCGATAAGAGAGGCCAACTCGACCAACTTGCCGTTGAAAATTGATGCCATAAGCTTTGGGGATACCGGAGGAAACCAGGCCCGACCACGAAGGGAGAAAAAGCCGATACGGTAAGCGTAGAGAAGCGAGGGGGCGAGGCAATACCACCAGAGGCTAAAAAACACCCGGCGAAACAAACCCCATCCCGGGGCCCGGGGACGTAGACGAAGAAAACAAATATGGCGTACCTGAAGGGACAGGATTTTGAATCCGATACAACGGCTGCTGCAGCGTCTGTTGAGGCGGTTGCCAATGTCCAGCTACGGCACGATCTTGTTGTTGGGTAACCGTAGGCGTCGCTGATTGAAGTAACACGGGTTGTGGTGGCTGCTGAGCGAAAAATGGTGTTAAACTTGGATGACTCGATGGCCAAGTAGAAGCAACACTGACGATTTGTTGATTTGCAATAGCCGGCGATGGAACACGAGTTGGAAATAACGGTGAAGCAATATGCTGGTGTAAACTTGGCTGAAATTGCCGAGATGGCGACGAGCGAACGGCAAGGGGAGCCGTAGCGATCAACTGCGATGCCACTGTTGAAGTTGTAACAGCAGACACGACTGGTGAGCTAGTTGGCGTTAAACTCAAAGCAACTCTTTGAAGAGACATATTTTCCTGAGCCATTATAGCGAAATAATTTTGTTGGACAAGGTTGTGACGGCATCGATTCACGCAAGCAACTAACAACTCGATCAGGCAAACTGGGCTCATATTTGTACTCACCGGAGGGGGCAAGTAGCCGACCGGACAAGCGTCCTAGGACCCGCGACACTACGATACGAAGACCCGTATAACATTAACTTCCTTTATTATTTAATAATAAATACATTTAGAATAGAATTGTGTAATATGATAGAAATCCGATGCAAATGTAATCATATGCAATTCTAATTAGACTTCGAGTATCTATCTATCTATCTATCTGCGGCCAACGTTTTTGCAAATAGTTTGCAAATATATATATATATATATATATATATATATATATTTATATATATATATATTATATATATAATAATATATTATATTATTAAATATAATTATTATATATTCGCTGCATCCTGCATGGCTGAATCGCATTGATACATGAATCCGTCGAAATTTATATATATATATATATATATATATATATTATAATATATATATATATATATGTATATTATAATATATATATATATATATATATATATTAATATATATATATATATATATATATATATATATATATAAATTTCGACGGATTCATGTATCAATGCGATTCAGCCATGCAGGAGGCAGCGAACAGACAAATTGAACGTGTTATGTATAAACTTTATCCGAGTTCGAAGTCGAGAAATATCGAACTTTATTTTTTATCATGCTTATTGCGCAATTAAAAACAGGCCACCGTGTCGCACCGTGTCGCACCGTGGCTCACGTGGCAAAAGCTTGCCCTGTGATTGGTTTGCTACACTGCACCGTGTCAGAACGTTACCATATTTAGTAACAATTACGCAATAATCTGCGTGTCAACTAGTTGCTGTGATCGCAGCTTCGAATGCACGACTAGCTTCCGACCATACTCGGCATAATTCGGCAAGCTTCCGACGAATTTTATAGCATGAATTGGTAATAATAGGACAACGATAACGAAAGGCATTACTCAAATTATTTCCTTCAGACATACAGTAGGAGGCAAAAGTTTGAGTCCAGTCGTTGTAGAATTCCAGTATTAAATCCTGGCAGCGTATTGGAGTTAAGACATGCGTGCTAGTGTTTCAGTACTGTAAACTATATTAATTGCACACTGTTTTGGTCCTAATGATCTAAATTATAACAAAATAAAGTTCTCATTCCTTTACACTGCCCAAGATGGGTAGGGAAAAGGGCAAAGTGATGGTGCACAAGGACAAATAGTTCCATTAAGTATTGAAGGATTCTTTCCTCGTAAGATCGCAGAAGAAGTGAGAATTTAAAAAGGTGGTATGCAACTAACCTTGGAGAGGTTCGAAGAAACTAAATCCTACTCAAGCAAACTTTTAGCTGCTTTGGTCATGCTCGGTTTGGCAATATTGAAAGATATAATAGGATCCTACACTGTTAATTTGAAGGTGTCAATTTAGCACCAAAAAAGGTGTTGAATCAATATGGCAAAAATAACACCTGTTGAGGTGCTATTTTAACACCATGATCCGGGTGCTAAATTAACTCCAATCTCTGGTGTTAAATTAACTCCCATTCAGGTGTCAGTATAACACCTTTGGGTGTTTAATTAGCACTACATTTGGTGTTACTTTTTACTTACTGCAATTTAATGTGCAGTACATCAGTATAATCATATCTAAATCAAAATTAATGACACATATACAAGGAAACAAAAAATCAATATATTAAACTTGGACACAATTGCATATTTACAATTACTCCAGCAGGACTATTTACAAAAATAGCCAGACAAATATTTACAATTTTCAACAAACAATGTCAAGTTCTTTTATAAATTTATCCACAGAAACTCACTTCCCAGCATATGTTCTTCCATGGCCATTTTTTTATTATTTGTATTTTGTCATCTGTATATGGAGTCATCAACCTAAGATAAATTTATCAATAATCATTAAAAAAGTAAAATCAGCCCACAAGGTTTCCTAATATGAGGGAGAGATTCTCTTTCAGTAATTAGACCTAAAGCAACCACTAGCTGTGCTCTGAATGTCTTCTTTGAAAAACAAATTGTTTATCAATTGCTATTGTTAAAATCTAGTTAGGTTACCAAAACTATAATCGGTACACTAAGCATTGGATAAAGACAGTCAAAATAGTAGATTGTGGGGCAATAAACTACAGGTGACATTGTAATTTTGTCCTTGGGAAAATTATAGTATATTAATTGCATCATTTACCTGATTCTCTGTGCGGCCAATCTTGTTTGTTGTTTCTATCTGGTTCGAAAGAACCAATACAAACTTCTTGGCACAGTATTTGGCATTCTTGACAACTCTTGATAGATTGAAATTTGCCAACCATACCATGGACTAATAGTTCTTGCACATTTTACTGCCAAATTCTGCCTTTACCTGCAACAAAATAATAGAATGTGTTCAGTTACAAACCTTACTTGCAAAAGAAAATGATTTTACTAAATTATGGAAACATACTTTGTTATTTGACTAAAATATAAATGTGAATTTGAAAAATGACAAGCTAAAATGGGACTCTCAGGTAACCTGTAGGAAATTATATTTCTTACAGTAATAATTTTATCAAAAGTCATACACAGGCAATTATTTTAAACAAATAACTTGCTCTCTGAGATCAAATTTATCAAAATAGAGCAAGGATTATCGTTAATATATCAAAATAGAGCACGGACAATTGTTGATATAGGATAAAATATCGCTAAATTATGTCAATAATATGAGACAAGCGAAGACGCATCTAAAATTACGGTAAACTGGTAAAGTAAATATGAATAGATACCTATTATTGCAATGATATTTTCTTTGACCACAACTTGCTGAAGAGATCGCAGTAAAGTAGAATACGTCATTTGGCTTCTCTAGAATAAAAAAACATTTGTTTGTTCAGCGATTTGGCCGTTGACTTTGAGCGAACATGGATACTGTATGTCTGTATTTGATCAAATTCAAACACTTACCAAGATATTTCTGAGATAATACCACAACCAATTGCCTTGAAATTTCCTTATGGGAGCCCGTTGTTGTTTAGGATATTTAGAAGTACCAAAATAGTCGAGTAAATACGCTCAAAACGTCTTTTTAACACAGCAGCATAAACATCTCGATGAATATACGATCAAAAGAGTTTTCAAACGACGCGCTCAAAAAATTTGCATACAAGCGCTGACACGTGTCATATTTCGTTCCTTATATGGACATACATATGCCTATACGCGATTGCGAAATATTTACTTTGTAGCAATCATTACATAGCACAAAATAACTAGTCGTTAAATTAGTCGTTTGATAAAATAAAAAGGACAATGGATCACCGATCACTATCGATGTATCGGGGGTTTTTTATATAGAAACGTATCTGACCTGACGTATTCATAGCAACAAGCTGAATTTCCATGTCGTCTTTTAGATGAATAGTTGTGCGAAAAGCACGGGAATTTTTTGTTCCAAAATCATCTCATTCGAAAATACAAGTTTATTTTTCAATAACTTAAATAAAATCAAACGTGCTCATTCCCGGCCCATCCGCCATTTGGTGTTATTTTGACACCCCATACTTAACTCCCTATATGGCGTTATTTTAACACTTTCGTCGGCAAAAGAGGTGTTATTTTGGCACCTTGCAATGGTGCTGGTAATATGGTGTCATATTGGCACTTTTAGCGCCAATCCCAGATTTGGTGGTGTTAAATTAGCACCGAAGTTGGTGCCAAAATAGCACTTTGTATTTAACACCACTGCATGGTGTTGATTTGGCACCTACGGTGGTGCTATTTTAACACTTTAAAATTAACAGTGTAATTAAAGAAAAGTATCATCCAATTCTTCAAGGACATGGAATTTCATCTGGTACAAAGATGATCGCACGTCTAACTACATGATAATCACCCTAAGCACATGCACATCTTCTATGTGCCAGAAATCGTTTAGAAGCAAACTCATTCTGGTGATCTCGTTGTCATGGCTTTCCACCTCATATTCCAGATCTAAAACCTATGGAGCACTTGTAGAACCGTTTTAACCGGAAGAGGGCGAGGCACAGACCCGCCAGCCAGGCTGACTTGAGGCAAGTGGTCAACGAATGCTGGCAAGGTATTGAACGTGTGACATTAAAAAACCTATGGAATCTATGCGAGCAAGAATAAAGGTCATTTCAAGAGCAAAAAAGAGGGAACTAAGCAATGACATGTAAATGCATGTTTGCACATTAAAATACGTAAAAATGAATATCATAACATCTCATAGTTGTTGTACAGCATGTATTTTTCTGTTTACTTGTTTACTTTTTTCTAGTTCACTTATCGGTAAGGTTTTCTGTAGAATATTAATATATGCTGCTGAAACAAAGAAATACAGTCACTGGACTCAAACTTTTGCCTCCTACTGTATATTTGCTTAATTTTGGTGTGAAAGAATTAATTTTCAAAGAATTAATATGTACTTCCAAATAATGTGTGAATATTAGATTGCATTTTTCGTATCCAAAAAGATGAAACTGATAAATTCTAGATGGGAAAATCTGCCTTTAAGATCCCTGCTATTTACGGGATAGATTTAATCAAACCACAAAATCTGTATTATTTATTATCTTTGATTAACAATATATATCCTACGACTATCAGTAATCATCATCAAGCCTTCGCTTTTTCCAAACATCACAACATTCTACTTGAATGCCATAAAGATTACTGTTTAGTATCCGTACAGCATCTTTTACCATGACGGGATGAGACAGTAAACACGACATTGCGAAAGCAAATCTTCAAATCACAATTTCACATGACACCGTAAATTTGACGTAGCATAATTATGTGTATTTACATTTATTTGTAATTTGATTTGTTATTTAATTTACTTTAATTTATATACTTTTGCATTAAGGTACAGCAGGAGACTCGTTGAAAAGTCATAACGGTGTGGCTTTCAGCACCAATGATTCTGACAATGATGTTTGGAAATATAACTGTGCGGGAAGATACAAAGGTGGCTGGTGGTATTGGCGTTGTCATCATTACAATTTGAATGGTTTTTATTATTATGGCGCACACACATCGTATGCTGATGGAGTCAATTGGGAAAATTGGAAAGGATATTATTATTCTCTGAAATCAACATCGATGAAGATACGACCACGAGAATTTGGAAAGAAGAAATAAAGTTGCTTTATACATTGTCTATTTATTATTATTATTAAAAGTGTTACACATTGCAGCTGTGAAGCTGAATTGCGTGCAAAACTAGATAAAAATATATAAACTACAATATATAAAAATAATTAAAATAGGAAAATATTTAAACCATGTAGTTAATTAGTTTAAAGAAAGCCTATTCATAATTTGCGGCATTAAAAACATAATTTGCGGCATTAAAAACGGGCGACGGAATAAAATATTTGAAAGTCTATTTGTTTTTGCTTTGTAGTCAGTGAAAGGGCGAATTCGCCTCAGACCATACTTTGTTTCTTGCTTGGGAGACAAAAGATACGCGAACTTGTGATTACGAGTGTTTATTATTTGATTAAAAAGTTTCTTACATGCTTCTTCACGTCTACAATTAAGTTTTGCAATACCGGCGTTGATATAAATAACTTAAATTCGGATATATAACCGAAATCACACATTTTTCACTCGCTCGATAGCATTTGAGAGATAGCATTGTAATCCGTAGTAGTACACATGGCATGCAGTGGTGCACACTCACCTGAGTGCAGTACGAACGTCGGTTGTACTTTCTTTCGTTTAGGTAGGCAAGTAGGTAGGTAGGTAGGTAGGTAGGTAGGTAGGTAGGCAGGTAGGTAGGTAGTGTAGGTTAGGTAGGTAGGTAGGTAGGTAGGTGTAGGTAGGTAGGTAGGTAGGCAGGTAGGTAGGTAGTTAGGTAGGTAGGTAGGTAGGTAGGTAGGTAGGTAGGTAGTAGGTAGGTAGGTAGGTAGGTAGGTAGGTAGGTGGGTAGGTAGGTATGTAGGTAGGTAGGTAGGTAGGTAGGTAGGTAGGTAGTTAGGTAGGTAGGTAGGTAGGTAGGTAGGTAAGTAGGTAGGTAGGTAGGTAGGCAGGTAGGTAGGTAGGTAGTTAGGTAGGTAGGTAGGTAGGTAAGTAGGTAGGTAGGTAGTTTGGTAGGTAGGTAGTTAGGTAGGTAGGTAGGTAGGTAGGTAGGTAGGTAGGTAGGTAGGTAGGTAGGTAGGTAGGTAGGTAGGTAGGTAGGTAGGTAGGTAGGTAGGTAAGTAGGTAGGTAGGTAGGTAAGTCGGTAGTTAGGTAGGTCGGTCGGTCGGTAGGTATGTAGGTATGTAGGTAGGTAGTTAGGCAGGTAGGTAGGTGGGTAGGTAGGTAGGTAGGTAGGTAGGTAGGTAGGTAGGTAGGTAGGTAGGTAGGTATGTTGGTAGGTAGGTAGGTAGGTAGGTAGGTAGGTGTTGAGACTTTGGAATAATTAGTTAGGTATAATTATTATTCAATGACGTAATATTTATATGTGTATATAAATGATTTCTGATATGAAATATACATCTTTTTACACTGAATGTCGAGTACATAACATGGTGTCAGGTATGGGATTTTTTTGAACAAAATGGAACAATTAAAGCCTCCAGGTGAACTTTGCCTGGAAGGAAACTTAGCCGAAAATTGGCGAAAGTGGATTCAAAGCTTCGAACTTTTCCTCATTGCGAGCGAAATTGGCGAGAAAAGCGAGAAAGTCCAGTGTGCCACGTTCCTACACGTGGCCGGCGAAGAAGCTCGTGCCGTATTTAACGCCTTCGACTTTGCTAAGGAAGGTGATGAACACAAAATCGATATCTTAAAAGACAAATTCAAACAGTACTGTGAACCACGAAAGAATTTAACGTTTCTACGCCATCAATTTTTCACACGATCACAAGGACCAACTGAGACAATCGATGCTTTTGCTACCGATTTAAGAAACAAAGCTAAACATTGCGAATTTAGTACATTGACTGATAGTCTTATACGTGACAGAATAGTCGGAGGAATCAGAAGTGATCAACTACGAGCAAGATTACTTCGTGAAGCGGACCTATCCTTACAAAAAGCTATCGATATATGTCGTGCGAGTGAAGCAAGTGCAAGAGAGTTGAAAGAATTTAACGATGACAACGACAAGTCCCTCATCATGCACTGCAAAGATCTAAATTTACTTACCCGAGTAAATCGCTAAATCCAAGGTTGTATTCAAAACAACATCAGTCAACCCAGCAGTCAAACTATGGCTACGTGCAACGAAAGTGTGGAAATTGCGGTGGAGAACATTCTAGTTATCAAAAGGCCTGTCCAGCTTTTGGCAAGATTTGTAATAACTGTCGAAAGGAAAACCATTTTGCTCGAGTTTGTCGATCGAGATTAGTGCCAGTGAATAAGCAAGCATTCCAAGTTGATACCCAAGATGAGATGGATGATTTTTTCATCGGAATGGTGGAAAATTCTAGCGACGACGACTGGACCGAAAATATTATAATAAACAACAAAGCTATTGAAGTTAAACTTGACACTGGCGCACAGTGCAATGTCATGTCACGCAATGTTTACAACAGCATTGTTCAAAATAACATCGCTCAAAATAACATTTTCCCGATTGTTGCATCGAATGCCAGATTGGTAAGTTACTCAGGGCACAAAATCACTCCAGTTGGAAAAACAAGATTTGAATGTCAGCGAAAGAACAAGTTCTATCAAATCACATTTCAGATAATAGATGAAGATGCTCCATCACTGCTGGGCAGGAAAACCTGTTTGGAATTGGGATTAATTGAAAGAATCATGAATTTGCATCGATCTGATGGTGACAACGAAAGTGGCGATGACATTCTCAATCATTATCCAGACTTATTTTCTGGTCTTGGTTGCATTCAGTCAGTTGGAAAACATCACATTGAAGTAGATCCTAATATAAAGCCAGTCATTCATCCACCAAGAAAAGTACCTGCTGCATTGCGCCACAGAATACTAAAGGAATTGGAACGGATGGTAGATCTCGGGGTGATTGAAAAACAGTCTGAGCCAACCAGTTGGGTAAACAGTATGGTAACTGTCGTTAAACCCAACAAGTTAAGAATATGCATTGATCCTCGTGATTTAAATCGAGCCATCCGACGTGAGCACTACCCACTGCCAACTGTTGAAGAGGTTGTATCGCGACTTCCAAAGGCCCGGGTATTTTCTACCCTTGATGCCAGTTCTGGTTTCTGGCAAATAGAGCTTGATGATAGCAGTTCCACATTGTGCACCTTCAATACTCCATTTGGAAGGTATCGCTTTAAGAGACTTCCATTTGGCATTTCGTCAGCTCCAGAGGTTTTCCAGAAAGTTATGACAACACTGCTCGAAGGACTTGATGGAGTTGAATGCATCGCAGATGACATTTTGGTATGGGGGAAGGATATCAGCCAACATAACCAACGCTTGAGGTCTGTCCTTGATCGGTGTCAAGAAAGGAACTTGAAACTGAATCGTGAGAAATGTGAGATCCAACGCACTCAGCTAACCTATGTGGGTCATTTACTTACTGCTGATGGTTTACAACCTGATCCGGAGAAGATACGTGCAATCCAACAGATGCCAGAACCAGCTGATAAGCAAGCTGTTATGAGATTCATGGGTATGGTCCAGTATTTAGCAAAGTTTTTACCAAATTTGTCAGAAATCAGTGCACCATTGCGAAGTCTTCTTGAAAGTAAGACAGAATGGCATTGGGGAGAGTCTCAGAAGAAGAGTTTCCAACAGCTGAAATCTCTAGTTGCTTCAACACCAGTGCTGAAGTACTATGATGTCAATTGTCCTGTAACATTGTCGGTCGATGCCAGTTCACATGGCCTTGGTGCAGTGATAATGCAAGATCAACAACCCATTGCCTATGCATCAAGAGCCCTTACTAGTAATCAGCAAAAATATGCTCAAATTGAAAAAGAACTGCTTGCTGTAGTCTATGGTTGCAGCAAGTTCCACCAGTACATCTACGGCCAAACGGTAAAAGTGGAAACCGATCATAAACCACTTGAAGCCATCTTTCGAAAGCCCTTGCACCAGACGCCACTTCGATTGCAGAGAATGTTGCTTCAGCTTCAACGTTACAGTCTGGAAGTAACCTACAAACCTGGCAAAGAAATGTACCTCCCTGATACATTAAGCCGAGCGCATTTAAATGAAGAGAAAGAAAGTCTTCTTGATGAAGAATTAGAAGTTTGTCTTTTGGATCTGGAACTGCCAATTTCTCCAGAGAAACTAAAAGAATTTCAAGATGCCACAGATCAAGACACAGCCTTACAGAACTTGAAGACCGTAATATTGAGCGGGTGGCCTAATACGAGAAGTCAAGTACATCCCGACATTCGAGAGTTCTGGTCGTACCAAAATGAGCTCACTTATATGCACCAGTTATTGTTCAGAAATCAGAAGTTAATTGTTCCGAAGGTCCTGAGAGGTGAAATGCTTAAAAGAATACATCAAGCTCATTTGGGAATCGTCAAATGTAAGCAGAGAGCACGTGAAATACTCTTTTGGCCCGGCATGGGAAATGAAATCGAAGAAATGGTTTCAAAGTGTCCAACTTGTAACGAAAACAGGAACAGTAACATCAAACAGCCCTTGACTCCTCATGAGATACCAGACCGGCCATGGGCAAAGATAGGAGTTGATTTATTCGAGTTCAAGAACACTAACTATCTTCTGTGTGTCGACTACTATTCTAAATTTCCAGAAGTAGCTAAGCTTCCGAGTTTAAAGAGTTCAGCAACCATCACTGCATTAAAGTCAATTTTTGCCCGTCATGGAATACCGGATGAGGTCGTCAGCGATAATGGACCACAGTTCGCAAGTGTTGAATTCAAGAACTTTTCCGAAGTTTGGGAGTTTCTTCACATCACTTCGAGCCCTGGGTATCCTCAGTCCAATGGACAGGTTGAAAGAACAGTCCAAACAGTAAAAAAATTACTAAAGAAAGCTGATGAAAGTGGCCAAGATCCCTATTTATCAATACTGGAATACCGTAATAGTCCTTTGGATAGCGTTAATAAATCGCCAGCACAACTGCTTATGAGTCGCAGATTGAAGAGTCGTCTTCCGACCATTACACCATTGTTACAGCCACAAATCCAACAAATGTTGGAAAAAATTGCGATCAAGTCAGCAAATCCAAAAAAATACTATGACTTGG